GCTGCAACGTAGATGCATACGGAGATGTTGCGCCCAATGTGGAATGGGCGCCCATCGAGGGGAAGATGAAGTTGGGCGATGGTTGCAGCGCAGCGGCTGCGGCGGCTGGCCCAGCACCGGGCGTTGGCTGTGGTATATAAGCTGATGGCCAGACGAAGGCCGCCGCCGCCGCCGCCTGCTGGAACGGATCTGTGGGCGTTAAGAGGGGAAAATTTGATATGCCTGCTGTGCATAGTCGAGTTTTTTTTGTTTGTTTTGTTCAGTATATTTTTTATGGATTTGGAGTTGGATTTGTTGTTGTGGTTGTTGGGAGGGCGGGAAGAAAAGCGGAGTTACAAAAGCATGAATTAGTTGTTGTCTTGAAATCAAGTTAACCTAGCTAGGATGCGACGATTCAAGCATTAGTGGCAAATGGCACAAGCGTCGCTTATGAAGCGTCATGAATACATATTTCGATATACAAATATATATATATATATATATATATATATATATATATATAGATATAGATATACACTCACACACATATATATTTATATATCTGTGTCATGCATGTTGTAAGAGCAGATGCATTGAAAGTTACTTAGTTGATGCAAATAGAGGGACTTACCAAGCGCTGCTGGTGCCGCTGGCAGCAGCACCACCTGACCGCGACTGGCCTCACGTGAGTATTGCAAGCCCACCGTGGCGGGCGACATGGAAATCACTGATTCAATGGGCAATGCATCTACAAACGCAAATAAAATTGAACAAATGCAATAATAAATAAATAAATATATAGAAGGAGGAGTAGCGAGTTGTGTTGGGCGGGCTAACTACTTAAGTGGCAGAAGGAAATTGAAACAAATAAAATACATTCAATTGCAAAGTAAAGGGAAAACTCACTTGGATATTGCCAGAAGGTGGAGGGCGCCCTATTAACGCCCGCGGCGCTCAGTGCCAGCTCCTCGGCGGTGGCTGTGCCCGTGGTCATCAAATCACCGTTTCCCGTGAAATACAGATTGCCGCAACTGGTGGCGCCTGCAGTTAGAGTTCGTATGAATAGACGATAAACGAATTATAATTTCAAATTTGTCAAATTCGCTTTTAGCTCAGCTTTTGATTTTGAGCTCGATTCCGCAAAACTTTTGCAACTCGACGAGTCAACGTTCAATTATTTAATAAACTTTTTGTTTCGCACCACAGCAGCTTTACATGCCACTCACATGTACATGTATGTGTGCCTGTGTGTGTGTGTGCGTGTATGTGCCAGCAAGTGTATTTGTGTGTGTGCTTGAGAGAGAAAGCTGTGTGTGTATACTTTAAATATTGCAATGTCCTTGAACTATGCATTTGGCGACCTACCCAACTCACACCCAATATTCAGAGACAGCCCAACAGCCAGCCTATCAAGCCACTGAGCCATCATCCCTTAGCCAAACACAGAATGTGAATAATTTTTATAGAAATTCGATTAAAGCGTACACGAAACACTAATTGCATTACATCAAGGGCTATTAAGGACCTCAGATTGATGTTCGACCTAGCGAATAGTAAAAGTGAAAACGGAGCTGTCTCAAAATGCAATTAGTGCCACACTTCCTTTTTTTTGGGACAACTACCCACCAGTAAATGCATATATATAAAGATCTATATATATATATGTATATAAATAGAATCCGTACAGCCGTTAGGGGGACTTTACCATATGGTCACATACTCAAACCACTTATGCGTATCATATTGCCTTCGCATTGGTCCTTGTTGATAGGAAAGCTCAGCGTGAGCATCCCTTGTTGCTTGCTGCTACTTATCCCAGCATCGCCTCCCACTTCCTCACGTTCTTTCGCTCTATGTGTTTGCTGCCCCCTCATTGTGCACCACCTTGCAGATTGCTGGACTTGCAAGAACAACAGTTTAAGCTCGCCTGCAGCCATCCAAAAGATGTGAACAACATTTTGAGCAGCAACCACCCACTGAAGAAGAAACGTTACCTATGAGTAATCCGTCTGGATTCGCGCTATCCAAAAGAAAAAAGAAACGACGCAATAGATACTCTATTTCATGTGCTTCCTCTATTGAAGTTTTCAATAAGTGTTTTTTTTTTTACATATATAAACCACTCGCCCACATCTCGTTGCACAGCAGGGCACCGCCTCGGGCGACAGGCACAAGTCAGAGGGCTGTCACAACAACGACGGCTATACAATCCACATCCGCTACCCCATCCGCATTTGTGGCCGTATCATATGATTTCTGCCCTTTCAATCGGCGTTCAGGGTGGAATTTATGTGGACTTCCTACCCCTAACTCACCAACGGAATTTTTAAATGTTTGCCGAAATCCTATTAGTGCCATAACTGAGCGCCGTCCACATCGTTCGGTTCGAGTCACACGCTCCTCGGCCGAGACACATAATTATGCCGCTAACGATGCCTCTGGGGACAGGCGAAGATTGCTGAACGGCTTAGCCAACCGTTCATTAGCAAGCACAAATCTGCGCCCTTCAATTCAATTAGAAGCTCCAACCCCATAATTCTTGAATCTTGATCGCATGCTTTTGCATTTCTTCTGTTTATATTTTGGCTTAAGAGTTTCTATTCTCAACAGGTTAAGACTTTAAGAGATTCAGGCAAGGCTTTTGAGAACCTAAAAATGTGTACCCAAAAAGGACTTTCCAATTCTAAGCTATTGTCATATTTTACTTTACGTAAAGACAACTCGATTTAAGTCGGCTTTAAGTCTAATGTAAGGATAAAAACGAAGAGGAATATTTTAACATTATTAAAAAACATATTTTTGAAGTTGTTTTTTATTTGCTATTTATGATTATTATATTACTCTTTATTTAATTTTTTTTATTTGCAATCAATAGATAATTTTAAAATGAATTTCGAGGCCGCTTATCTTCAATTTTACAATTCAACAAAAATATCATTCAATTCCATGTCACAGAAAATGGTCTATAAAGGGTTTCCCCTGTGTTATCTGAGGTGGGGTATTTAAAAATCAAGCGATAACCAAACAGAATATTTCAATATCACAGAAAGCCACGTTCCCTGCCGAGACATTGCTCCTGGTTACTAATTTTGTGAAACTACAAATCGAAAAAGTTATTCTAGTTCACACAGAAATATCTTCATTTCCTTATCTGCCTTAAGCAAGTGTCACAAAACAAAGTGAAAATCTAGCAGCTGCGGAAATAGCCACACAACAGTCTAGAGCATCAAAGTTCTGTACTAGCTGTAACTAGTAAAACTTACCCAGATCTGCGACCCGTATGCCGAAACAGTTCATGTCCTTGTTGAGTGGCTGCTGCAGCGGCAGAGTGGCGCCACTGTTAAGGGCGGCGCTGTTCGCCTCCTGTGGACGTTTGCGCGCCACTGCAATGCCAATGGGCACGGAATTGTCTAGATAACAAATACGATAATCAAATAAACTGGATTGCTATAAATTAAGTAGAAAGTTTACTTGTGCTGGATGTGGACTTTTCCAGATCAGACACCTTGGGCGAGGAGGCTTCAATTTTGACCAACGTTGTGAGTGTTGACGCAGACATGGTCTTTGAGGCCGATGCCGTTACGGATGATGAGGTAACACTGCCCAGGCCAAGGGAAGTGGATGCTGTCTGCAGATGATGCTGCTGCTGATGGTGTTGCTGCTGGTGGTGCTGCTGCTGTTGGTGTTGCTGCTGCTGGTGGCAATTGTTGGAGCTTATCTCAGACACCTGACAAGGCTCACGTTTTATCTGCACAAACGTATACGAGGACGAGTTGGTCTGCTGATGATGATGATGATGCTGCTGCTGCAATGGTAATGGCAGCGGCAACGGCAACGATGCACCACCAGCGCTCATATATTGCGCGTGTGCGGGCATAGCACCAAACGGTTCCAAATGCAGCGGATGTCCGCCAATAGTGCCCACTGTTGCTGCACCTCCACTGGCTGATGTCGTTGTGGAGGGCATTAGAAATGTTGTTGTCGCTGCGGTGGCAGCGCCAGCCGAGGAACTTAAAACATCCGCGCTGCTTGTTGCATTGAATGTGGCCATTTGTTGTTGATGATATTGGACGTGCTTTATTAAATTGGTAGAAACACTCTAAATTATTGCTACTGGGCTTAAGCCTGGGCTAAAGCTAATGCTGTTGCCAACTCTAGCGCTTGCGGCAAGGAACATTGCCGACGACTTGATGCGTCGCATATGCTTCACATACATGCACGCATATGTATGTACGAATATATATTTTTCTATAGCTACGTATATATTTATATACAGCTAAACATCCATTATCTGCGGCACACACGCACGCACGCACTCACACGAACACACTTACGTACAAACAGTCTACATTTTTACGTGTTTATATTTCTCACTCTTTGGTGCAACACTCAGCGGTCATTTGTTTGCATATTGTCAACTTTTATGCTATTTATTATAAATAAATGACATAATACACGCGCCACATACGTATGCAACTAGCAATATATACATACATATGCATATATAAATATATATATGTATATATATATGTACAAACTGGACCTGTGCTAGGTTCCCAGCGGCGACGGTGACGGCGACGGAGGTGGCGAAGGTGTGGAGGTGGAAGCGACCGATCCCTACTAACACAACCGTTTTTAGCTTTGTGTTATATCCGCTATAGAATTTCGCACTGCTAACCGCCTATAAAATGGCACGCATTAAACCGCGCGTTTTTCGCGAATTAGTAATCCCTGGAAAAAAGTCCACGGGAGACACAAAAAAAGCAACTTTTCAAGTTTTCACTATGTTTGGCAAGTGACAATCGTTTGCGATAGTTGCTATCATCGATATTGCCCACACTGTGACGATAGGTGTCTCGATATTTTATAGTTTCTACGATATATTGATTACCACAATCGGTGATAATGCAAACAAAAAATCGATAATGCATATAAATTGCGCGCGTTAAGCTGTCATTTTGAAAAATAAATTAAAAATAATGAAATTGTTTATTTTTTATTTAATAGTTATACAATGCTTATTGTTATGTCACGTATGATAATCATAGCTGCGTTAAATTACAATCTGTATAAATAATTGGGAGTTTCAACTAAAACTAAGTTTAATAAGTCTGTAATAAGCTACTTTAGCAAACATTATAAGTCATAACAGTTGCTGTTGGCGAACCTCTACATACAGCTAGAACTAACTCCATTCATAGGTAAATGCGTCTTAAATCTTTTGGCGTAGTTATGGAATTGCATTGCGGACAAAGCTTGCGCGCACCCAGCGTCTGCAGCCAGCACTGCTCACAGTGGACATGCCAGCAGGACACTGAGATGGCAGGATTCTTGTAGTCGTCAATGCAGATCAAGCATTTGAGTTTGCTCTGAGCCTGCTTCTCGTACATACGCAGGCGCGCCTTTAAGGACTCAATGATCTGCGACGATGTATTGTTGTTGGTGCTGTTGCTGCTACGCGATGTAGATGCCGCTGGTTCTTTCTGTTGTCCAGATGTGGATGGGGCCTGGCTGGCCTCATCATTCACCTCATCAGTCGTTTCGCGGGCATTGTTGCTTTTCGGTGTATCATTGGATGATATTAGACGACGTACATAACTGGTAACATCCGCTTCTGAGACACCGCCTTCTTCAGCATCCTCATTGGCTAGTGGAATGACGTCTGCTTCACCATATTGCGTCGGTCCATATATATGTGTATCATCCTCATCCACATTGACGTCGTCCTCATCATCGTTGTTTGTCTGCTGCGCACCGTTGTACTTGATGGTCTGTCCAAGATTCAACGCTGCATAACCGCCCTGGACGAGCGTCGATACGCGTATACGTTTCTGTCCAGCCCACTCGTATTCCTCGTACTCATCGCTGTCATCATCATCATCACTGGAATGCCGTTCTCCGTTGCGCCCACCGGCACGCAGGCACTGATGCACATGCTCTTGTATATCTGTCTGGGGGAAACTTTTGTTGCAGACGGGACAGCTGCAGGTGGTTTCGGCCGCCTGGCTAGACCCAGCAGTATCATCTGCTGCTGTTGCTGGTGGTTGAGTTGGTGGGGGTGGTGGAGGAGTGGGTCGCTTGCGGGTTCTTTGTCGCTGTCGTGCCTGTCGGTTGCGTTGTACACGCTGGAATACACTCCATGGTCTTCGTTGGCCACCACCCTCAGCAGTGGCAGCAGCCGATTGTGTTTGTGATGTTGTAGTTGTGGTGTTAGTGGTGGACGCAGGAGCTGAATTGTCAGCCGCCGCCGCTATCTGTGTCGACCGCAGCTGCATTCTGTGTAATCGGTCCATTTCAACTTGGCAATGATCGGCTACTTGGCTGCGTTTAATTTTCGCATCACAAGTGGGGCATATAACATCCTCCTCGCCATTGGCGAGATTAAAGTTTTCGGTGTTGGGCACAGTGTCGGTTGCCATGGCTAAAGAGCTTTCTTTATATATTTTGCAAGCAAAATAACGATTGGCCACCTGGGCGTGCGGCACTTAGTCAATGTACGCGTTGTTTATATTTTGTATTTTATTTGGATTTCGTTTAAAAACTCAGATTTAAAGTTAGTTTTCTACCAAACGAACTAAATAAAGTAAAACAACAAACGCGACGCCGATCTAGTGATGTAACTATTTTTTCGCATATCGATCAAGTATCGAGGCTGTCGCCACTATCGCAAAGCATAGCTTAAGCGACGTTGCCACCTAGTTAAAACCAATCACGACCTAAAAAATGCATAACGCGCAACACAAACATTTTAGTAATTGTCAACCCCTCTGCAAATAATTATTTTTATTATTTTGTTTATGTTTAATGTAAAAACGAAACTCAAACTTGATTAAAAATGTAAAATTCAATAGCTGAATGCCATACACAAAGTAAAATCGTAAGTTAGAGTTGCTACCACATCGATATACGCCATATTTTCGCAGCAGACAGCAGAGCAGAAAGTGAAAAGCAAAAACTGGGAAAACAGAATAGAGAAAATAGCAGTGCATTATTATTTTCCCACAACTGTGCCACTAACAAGGTTCTCCAAAACCGACTCTATTTGCTTGTGTGTGGGTGTGTGTTTGTGTGTGTAGATATTGTGTTATTTATTATTCAACAAAAGCAAGATGTCGGAATCATTAGAAACGCAACAGCAGCACGCGCCACAACAACAACAACATCAGCAGAGCAACATTGGCATCTATGGCAATAAAATGAATATCATACCCAATTACACGTTAAGTGGAATGAGCTCCTTTGATGCCGAATCTCTTCCTGATTATTCAGAGTTTGATTCCGAATCGGTTACTTTGGACTATTACAAGGAAAGGTATTTAGCAAACGACAACAACAACGACAGCGACAACAACAAGCAATATTTTTGTCTGCATTTTTGTTTTGATTCCGTTTCCCCCTTCGTACACTCGCCACAGTAGTTGTTGTTGTTATTGTCGATTTTCTGTGCCCCCATTTTATGTTCTCTTTCCTGTTTTGTTTGTTTTGTCTCCTTTGTTTTATATCATTATGCTACTCATATTAAATGCTGTTGATCCTGTTGCCAAGCCCAATGCTCTCATATATGTATGTGTGTATGCATATACAAATCTGCGTTTCTCTCGTGTTGTGTTTTCTAAAAATAGAGCAGACATCGCCTCTGTCTGGCCCCCGTCTGTGCAATAAAATCATAAAATTGGCAAGCATTTTTCTTTGTTTGTCTAGTATAAGACTAACCACCCGCTCATACCTACCGCCTATACCTCGCTCTCTACATATTTGCTTAGATGTCTGTTGATGAGCATCTACAGTGAAGGCAGCCTTCATCGAACACTCGAGGCTTAATCTTAAGATACTTCTGCTGCTTTTAGCAAACAGCCGTGATTCCATCTTTTCAATTATTAGAACTGTTATCAAAGATGTAGATGATTTCATTAAAAAAATGTCGACTTTTCTTTTTCACGATGACAAAACACCTGCACAGGTGCAATATTTGTTCAAGCTTTCACTAGTATCATATATGTAAGCGCTCGTGTCACCTTATGCATTATTAATGCAATGTGCATCGAGTTGTTTACAGTTTTACGACTGATACAGGTGCTTCCTTGACTTAGCTTGCCATCTGAGGACATTCGTCACTTCCCGTTTGTTGATGTCGATGCATTTGCACTTCTGTATTATATCTTTGTCATATATGGCATATATTCAATTTAAAATAAACAAGTAAGGTAGTACCGGCTAGGAGACACCCTTAAGAAAATTGGCTGTGGTTACGAAAAAGAAATCGCAAACGTATAATGCGTAAGGGAAATATAGGTCTATCATATTTCTATGAAATGCACAAAAATTTTTAATTGTTTAAAAAATTTTTAAATTTATTTTATTTTACTAATTTTTACATCCACCCTTTTTGCATTACAAAACAACATGTTATTAATTAGTTTATTCATAGTTTATGTATTTCATTAGCTAAATTGCAATATATAAAAGAATTAGAGTACTTGAGTCATGAGTGCCCGACTTTAAGATACCCTGAAGGCCGAATTAGATAGATACATAACATAGATGAAAACATGACAAACGAATAGGGCTAAGTCAACTTATGTATTGATCCTACCAAGCATCCTTTTCGCTTCTTAAGAAACGGGTTCAGTGTAATATAATATAAAAATGTGTTTAAAAACTCAAATCTTGTTGACGAGTGTCGTTTGACGAATTGAACAAAACAGACTTATTGAAGCGTTACAAAAAGAAAAGCGACGCTTGCTTGCTTGTTTGTGGCCTATTCCAAGTGGATTCTGGTGCTTTGGTCAATTTGTGGCAGGCCCCTCCCACCCATATAGGGGCTGGGCTGCGGCCTACTGAAATGCTTCAGTATGTTGTGTTTGCATGCTGCTGCTCCATATTGTATTGTTTTCTCAGCTGACTCGTATGCGCTTGAATGTATGTTTTCGCCTTTTGCATTGTTCTTATTTATTTTTAACTTTTTTTGTATGATATCAGCTACAATGGCACTAATCGGAAATGTTACCAATTCTATTTTTCCTCCATGCAAAACGTTTTAATAAATAAACAGATGTTGAAAAGGCAATCCGCAAGAAATTTAGATTGAAAAGCATTTGAACAGTTTATAACAGTCACTGTGCGCTAAGAATAATTAAAAATACAAAAAACAATAAGCGCCAATTGAAGCATTTTAATTGTTATATATACCAAGCCAGAGTTAATCGTTAATTCCCTCTATAAACTAACCAAACATATAAATAAATCGCTCCAATTCAGTATTTTACGTGGGCAAACGTTTTGCCTGATTAGATTTTAAGGTAAGTGAAGCTCATCTAAAAGATTTGTCATCATTTCGGAAATGTATATTTTTAGTGTTAAATATAGATTGTTTTGTTTTACATATATATAGTGTACTACGTCCTCAAGCGGACAAAATGGCGCCGACAACGACAATTGAAACCATAACAATCACACGACCCCTTAAGGTGAATGAAATTAAAATTCCCCCTTTAGAACAAGTTTCCTAAACAATCGAAACCGAACTTTTCAGGTGATTGCATTTATTTGCGGGGTCATCGTTGTGGTATTGATGATTATGGCCCTGGCATCCACAGATTGGCTAATGGCAGCCGGCTGGCGACAGGGTCTGTTTGTGCATTGCATCGAAGATGATTCAGCTTCGCCACTGCCATTTAATATTCAGGATCCACCAGGCTGCTACTGGACCCGTGACATTGGTATGGCTATGAAATGTTCTTCAATCATTTGCTAAAAACTACCTTTATATTTTTAAAGGCTACATCAAGGCAACCGCAGCGCTATGCATTATCACATTGATAACGGACGTCGTAGCCACAGTATTGACTGGACTGGGCCTAAAGACACAGAATCATAATCTTAAATACAAATTTTATCGAATAGCAGTGCTAGTAATGCTCGTCTCATGTACGTGTCGTCTTTTGTTTATAGAATTCTTATTTAGTTTATACTCACAATTCTTCCGTTTATCTCTCAATACAGTATTGGCCGTACTCTCTGCTCTGATTGTCTATCCAGTGTGCTTTGCAGGCGAACTCACAATGGGTAATCAATTAAACAGCAACTTTGAATATGCATAATTTACTGATTTATAATTTGTTTGTTTATGCAGCGAATCGACGCGTTTGGGAGTTTGGCTGGGCCTATGGCGTGGGCTGGGGCGCAGCAATATTCTTGTTTGGTGCAGTGGTTCTGTTGCTCTGTGACAAAGAATCGGAGGAGATCTACTATAAGGAGAGAAAAATTGTACATGAAAACCAAATGCGCGCCTAGGCAAGGCCGCACGACCTGCCTGACGTCGTTCTTTAGACATATAAGCATCTAGCAACCAATACACATTCACTCACACACATATACACACACACTCACAGACGTATATAAATTTAAAATTTGACTCGAGACTCAAAGACAAACAAACAAAATCAATCAAAATAGTAATTTTCGTCATAAACTTTTAGTTAGACTTCTGATGACGTCCATCACAAACAAATTGTAAGCCAAAAGAGAGAACCATAACGACTTCTTAATTCTTCCCATAGTACTGGGTATTAGTTAACTAAGACTTGTTTATATTTTATTTTTGTTTTTTTTTTTCATAAGTTTCTCCATGTCGAAAGTTAATCTTCAAATACACATATACAAAAATATTGTTATACCTACCAACCTACTTATCTATATAACAACACACATATATGAAAATACATATTCGCAAATATTATTAGTTTAACGAATTGTAATCAATTTTGAATCTTATTTTTGGCACTCATAAGACGAAAGCAAAACCAAATTGTACTTTTATGAATCAGTATATAAATATATATATGAACGAAAAAAATAATATTAGAAATTATCCAGATACATACAAGTCGTATACCTAGAAGACTATCATAGAAATTCATAGTTGACATGTAAACCTACCAGATATGTATGTATGTAACCTAACTGTAGTCGATCCCTCAAGCGCTCCACACCAAAAACGAAAAACAATTTTGATGATACGACAACCACGAATGATATATATGTGAATTATATTTTCAATATTTCTTTTAATTCTTTAAACGATTCTGTTGACGCTTTCTGATTAGCAACAAATGAGTTTGTTTAATTTTTATGCGTTGTGCGTCAGTGCCACCCATATATACCCAATGTACTCGAATATAAAATACAATATACTTATGTATTTAGACTTTACCTTTTGTATAATACTTAAACCGTCCCGTTTACCACTCGACTCACATTGAATATTATTTAAGTTAATATCGTATATACGCTATAATTTTAACCCAATCAATATGGCAGCTCTTGTAACCTCAGTTAAATATTTATTTCTTCATTCTAATTTATTATTGTATATTCTTTGTATTGTTTTCTATGCTCTACTTACATATCACAACCAATTCAAAAATAATAAACACGTCTTTGACAACTTCCGTTAAGATTTAACTATTTGATTTTTGGTTTGTTAAGCTAAGTCTTTGGCTTGTTAAACAACAAATATTTATTTATCAACCCGTTTTTATATCATCCATCTATCAATACATAATGTCACAAAACTTCATGTTCTTTTTTAGTTGCATTCGGATTTCGTTCTTCAAAAATGACATATTGACAACACGCAATCAAGAAAGAAACAATTTGACCGAGTTTTAGGTAAACGTAAATTACAACAATACAAAGATAAATACACATGCATTAACATTCATTATATAAAGAAGACATTGAACAAATCGTAGGCAGGAACGTGCGGTGAAAAGTGAAGCGAAAAATCGAGAGAAACAAGAACAATTATTAACGAGTATGAAATTAAAAATTATACCAAACAATTTTAACTAACTAAACTATATTTAAGTAAGGTTAAAGTATGCAACTATTATTTAACTTAACATATGTAACTAACGAAACAATTATATAACATAGTATACTCAAATGTGAACATTTATGAAACGTTACAATTTTTTATTGCAAAACAAATGCAAACGATTAGATATAAAATAACACGAAACATACATATATAAAGCGGAAAGAAACAAACTTTCAACAATTTATATGTATATATATACATATATATACATATATATAAATATTGAATCACTATCAATAAGTTTGATAAGTTCTCCGCTTGTGAATCATAAAAGCTTATTGATAGTGATTCAATATTTAATTCACTTAGCCACATATTTATATGATATTTATATAAATTATGTATTTGCCAATATTTACAGTTAAATTAACAATAACTTATGTTTGATACAGCGAAGGTGTCCGATCACCAAACCATCAATGCGAATGTTTTCTTTTATATGTAAATATTTTGGCCAACGATCTCTGTTCTCATCCACGAATTCAAATGTAAACGATGATGTTGATTTCAATTTGATATCTCAATCAATCATTAATCGCTATGCGTTCTGAGATGTTTATAAAAACTAGATTTAGTTCTCATTCCATAATCAAAATCTATTGAAGTATGTATGTAACAGCAAAATACATAACCCCCTATTTATAGGACATTCACAAAAATTGCATTTAATTGAAATTTTATTAATTATTTGTTAGAATATCTTTGACATGGTATCGTCTCTAAATGCTTAGATCTGCGTCAAACAATTTTTGTTCGTTAAAATATGACCTCAGGACTGTAACGAAACTTATTATATTGGGACGACTGCTCGGGTTAACATTCCAGCCCTCGGTTATCAATAGTTCCAATTCTTCGGGATATTCCATCGTGATTTCTTTCAAGTCCAGATGTTTACCTATAAATAAATAATCCCGTGAATTAGTTGCAGTTGGTAGGTAACATGTTAGCACGTACCTTTTTCCACTAGACTCAGGATTTCCCAAGAACTCTTAATGTCATCGTAGGGCCGTTTGCGTGACAGCATTTCCCACAAGATAACGGAACAGCTGAACACATCCGATGCCGGAGAAGGAAGCTGGTCGCCGGCAATCTGCAAATGAAATACCGTACATTATGAAAAACAACTAAGTGAAGGATCTAATATACTCGTTTGCACTTTATACATAGATCAGAAACTAGCCTCTGGTGCCATATAGGGAGCTGTGGTACGTATATTCGTGTTAGTGGTTGCCTCAGTGCGTACGGATCCAAAATCCGAAATCTTCAAAACACGTCGATGATCCGTTAGCAACATATTTGACGGCTTCAAATCACCATGAACCAACGGGTCAGAGCTCGAGTGAAGATAAGCAACGGCCTGGCAAAAAAAAAATAAAATATTACGTTTGATTGCAATCGACATATAAAAATGAGTCAATCTGAGTCTGAGTCACTCCTATATAGAGTCTACATATTTACCTCAAAGGCGTGGAGAGTCCAGTTGACAATATGATTTAATGTATATTCAGTCAATGGTGGGTTGTGCAAAAAACAATCCAGAGATCCGCCATCCGCAAACTCCACAAGTGAGTACAGACTATCGCTCCATGAATCACCAATCATCAAGAGAATGTTCGCATGCTTCACGTCTTTCAAATTTCTTAGCTCTCGTTCAACATTTTTCATTTCACCATAGGCATTGAATTTTTTAATTGCAATCGTTCGATTGTCGTACACTGCTTTAAAGACAACTCCATAAGTTCCGGTGCCGATTTTCTAAAAAGAAATTATTTGTAAATTTGGAATTTAAATTTAATTTTAACACTTACAACCAAATCCGTTATTTTATTAAAATCAATTGAACATTCATAATTATTCGCGTCCATGTTCCGCTTCAATCGGTGTGTTTTCTTGTACTGACTTCTGTACTTGGCACTTTATTTTTTCGCTTTGACACCACATTTAAATAAGAATGTAGAGTATAATGATTTTATGCAAACGCATGTCATGCGGACGTCATTAAACTTATATATACTTATAAATTTATTATCTCGATTCCCACAATCAATACAATCAACAAAAGTTAGTAACGCTTTTTTGTATAGAAAATGGTCAGACTGAATTTAAATGCCATGCGCTCAGAGTATCTCCTAGTCGGACACTCCGAAAAAACTATCTTATCACATTTTTATACCCTGATCCCATTAAAAATGGGAAATCAGCGTATAATGGTTTTGTGCAAATGTATGTAACAGGCAGAAGGAGGCGTGGCAGACCCCATAAAGTATATATGTATATTCTTGATCAGGACGACAAGCCGAGTCGATTGAGCCCTGTCCGTCTGTCTGTCTGTCCGTCTGTCCGTCTGTCCGTATGTGTGAACGCGTGGATCTCAGCATCTATAAGAGCTAGAGACTTGAAATTTTTTTTGTAGGTCCGTGTATAGCACGCGCAGGTCAAGTTTGTTTCAAATATTCGATAACTATTCGCATTTAATTGTTATCGAATAAAAACATTATTGAAATGCAGTAAATAAATTATATCTCGAACGTCTTAAGAGCTAGAGCCTCCAAATTTTGTATTTAGTCTTATGTATATTTTATGCAATTTTGATTTTTGTTGGATTTTGGATACCGGCTCCAAATTCCCCCAAATTCTTAGAATTTAAGTTTAGTTGGAACTAGGGCCATTATGTCAAGGCGTTTGCATCTCAACCAAGCCAATAGGATATATAGATCATATGCTGAAAATTTCATTAAAATCCATTAAGTAAAACAGAAGTTATTAAACAAAACGTTTGTCCAATTTGCAAAAGCACATGTCAGCAGCGCCACGCGCACGCATTTTTCCTATGCGTGTGCACACATACATTCAAATGCGTGCATTCTTTTCTATTCCAAGAATTGAAATTGCGATTGAATTGTGCTGAATTATTAGCTGCTACTTATGTTCAAATTTGCAACATCTCGCGAAGGAAGGGCAGTGGCTGCGTTGGTAGAGGCGCCGCTCGTATGCAGCTTGGTCCGGGTTCGAGACCAGTGAAGATGAAATGTTTTTTATTGTTCTATTTTTTTTTTTTAGTTATAAAGTGGCGGTGTTGGTAGAGTTTGTGCACGTTGCGCAAATAATCCGGGTTCGAATCCTGGTCTCGCAATGTTGATTTTTATTTGTTTTCTGTTTTTTTTTGAATACTCGATACAAACTACGGAAAATTTAAAAAAAACTCAGAGGACTGGGATCAGGGTATCTCCTAGTCGGGCACCCCGACTAGAGCTTTCTTACTTGTTTTTATATTTGTGTGAGTAAATAAAGCGGAACGTCTCTGATCTCATAAGGTATATATAGTACGCTCAAATGAGTAAACAATCAACCATATATGTATATATGTATATGTATTATATATCCACTTAGATATAGAGCACGTTTTAAAAAATTATAAGTCTTTATTGTATAGAAAAAGCAGCACTCGGCGACTCGGAGGTTGATACTGGAGTGCGGGTCATGTCGTTAATGTTATTTATTATTTATAAATACGTTTTCTTATTTAACATATTATTGTTATTATTGGAGCATTTATTTAGTATATATCTACATGTGGACATCTACAACTACATTGAATTCACAGCACAGCGCCACATCCTTAGTCTTTTTTGGCTATCAGGCCTTGCTTTTTCAGCTGTCGGAGTGCACATTTGGCAGCCGTACATTTGGCTATGCGGTAGTTGCGTCCGATGCCACGGAACGTACCCTTGCAGAAGACGTCAACAGTGACGCGAACGCGACGTCCGTCAGCCAGTTTCTCTGGCTTGCCAAATTTAGCTGTTTCCGGTTCCAGTTCGAGAAGCTCTCGTATGGGTGACTTTGGCACAGAATTGCTAAATTGCTCTATCTCTGGCTTCATCATATTGCTGAACACTTGCCACACCACATCTAGGGACATATTCGAGTCGAGAAATATGGCACCGGCAATGGATTCGAATACATCGCCCAATGCCTTGGGTACCTCAACATCCTCAGCATCATCGCACTCTTCCTCAGACAGCAAATAATACTGTAAATATATGTGAAATTATAGACGTAACCTGTTACAAATATTGATTTCACATTGAATCTTACCTCTTCGCTTATGCAGTGCCCGTTCTCCTGCTGAATGCGAACAAAACGATCAATGACGTCGTTAAGTCCGGGGGACAAATGGCGAAAATACTTATGAAAACCATGCCGCACAGCCAACGATGCAAATATGGTGTTGTTCACTAAAGCCGAACGTAGATCGGTCAAAGCGCCTGGCGAGTGTTGACGTGGGTCTTCATACAAATGCCTTGTTATCAGATAATCTAGAACGGCATCGCCCAGGAATTCGAGACGCTGATAACAGTCTGTCAGACGATTGGGCGTGTAACTGGCATGCGTCATGGCCTGCAGTAAGTAGGAACGATCCCTAAACGTATAGCCCAGGCTGACTTCGAAGTCCTCGAAGCCACTTAGCAGCTGCTCTAGCTCTCTATTAGCATTGGGTGCAAAATGCAGCAGCGGACTGCGCGGCGTCGGCCAATCACCATATACTGTAACCATGTTGTTGGCATCTGGCTTTGTGCTGCCCGGCGTGCGTTTCTCAACGTCTGCAGTAGACTGCTCCAGTTTATAAGGCAGCACCCGCACTCCCAGCCAGGCCATAAAGAGCAAAGCACCGCGCGGACCACACTCGATTAGATAAGCGCCAATTAACGCTTCCACACAATCAGCTATAGATTTGTCTGGTATGCTGTGCTGGGAGACTAGATTGTATGGAATGAAACAACTGAAGTCATTCGTCTCGTTCGAGTCGTCCAAATCCGCATTCTGTGTCAGCTGTTGGGAATCTATAGACTGGTCTACGTTGCTCCCAAGGCCCAAGGCTTCAGCTTTCTCACGGACCAGCTCGCAGATTTGCACGCTGCTTAAATTCTTTATATCCAGCAGGTCGGCCAGCTTCCAGTGGTGCGTTGGAATTTTAGCCTCAATCAGCGCCTTCTCTAGTTCTTTGGGTACATAATAGCAGGGCGGCAGCCAATTGTCATGCGGCTCGAATTTTGTGGCAATCATATATTCCCCCAGTCGCTTGCGTCGCCCCAATCGATACAGATTGAGATTGGCCACCTGTTTGGAGCGCAGATGGCTTAATTTGCCCTCGTGTACATTCTCATAGGTTATATACAGATATGTTGTAATGGCATACTTGAGGAATGAGTCACCAATCGTCTCCAGGCGCTCCAGATTTATGCCATCGTTGGCGTTTGACATTGTGAGTGCCTGCAAAATGATGCTGGGACTGGGTCCGGGATGTCCTACCAACTCCGGCTGCTGATCAAAACTAAAGCAGGCATCAGGCCTGCCTGATATAAGTCTCTCCGTCGCATGCGCATCACATTCGGTATTTGTTGTTAGTTCTTGCTGATACTCAAGTCTAATGTGCTTATTGTCCAAGCTCAGTCGGTGGTGATCGTTATAGTTGTCGAAACTATCGCCACAGCCTAATACGGTGTAGGTTTCCGCTTCATTCTGATGCAGCCAGCTAGCGTTTAGCTCTACCAGGTCAGCAAGCTGGAGCGTCTCCCGACTTTCGAGCATAGCCAAAATATCATCTTCCAGCACGTATGGCAACAGTTGCTTAAGCAGCTCCACCTGCAGCGTAGCTCCATCCTTGTCAAGTTTCATTATGTTATCTTCTGTGCGCTGTAGGATTAGTTCTTCGCCATGTGATACCAACATGCCGCAGCTCTCAATCTCTGATTTGAAGCGCCCAATGGACTGCTCGTAGTTAATACTGCTCCTGTGCTCTGTCTGCTCGAAGTTGTAACCAATGAGCATGTTCTTTGTCTGTTGGTATTGACGTTCGTTGGCATTGGTGGCTTGTATAATGGACAACTGTTTCTGGCGCTTTTCTAGCTCTTGGGCTGTTTCGATAGCTTCCGCCTCGTTCTTCGATGTGAACTCAATGCGGCCGGCGGCTATATCATCCGAATCATTGTCATCCGAGCTGTAGTGGTGAATCGGACCCACGTGATCATCATCATCGCTGCTGGAGCTAAGCGAATTGTCCGAATCGTAGTAAGCGTATTTGGATTTTCCCTCTACTTTTGCAGTATTATCCACGCCATTACTACCTCGCGGTTTGACTGTTCGCTGCTGTACTAACGCCGCTGACTGCTTAAAGCTGCTGGTATTGCTCACATCCCAGAACGTGGGTGAACCGTATCGTGTCTGTTGATCGCCTATAAATAAAATTCAATTTATTAACTGTTTGTTGGCGATTGAAAAATCTCAACTTACAGAACTTAACATTGGCTGGCAGCACTGGCAAAAAGTCCTCATCCTCCTCATCTTCATCGCCCTCTGAGTAGCTGGCTATGTCATCGGCCATGTCATTCGACCAAGTGCCAATCTCAATGAATTCTTCTGCACTACTTAATTGCTCTTCTCCTTCGATAACCTGCTCGTTAGCAGTCTTCGCTACCTTCCCCAGACTTGGCTCAACTACAGGCTCTTGAGCGGAGTCCTCTTCGGTTTCGTTGATTGCCTCTTTGCTGTCTGTTTTTTGTTTTGATTCGCGCGACTTTTTCAACACCTCTGAAAGGCTCCAGCCAAAATCTAGCATGGGCCACTCGAATTCCTCATCGTCAATTTGTTGTCGGCCCAGGCCTAGATCCGCAGAGACCTGCTTTCGAATATCGTCAGCCAACAGCAGCCCGTTGATGCGGTATAGGATGCAGGGCAAGCAAACTGCTGTGCGCCATAGGGATGCTGGAAACGGATGCACTGTGCACAGTTCCGGGACTAAAATCTGCTTCTGTTCAAGATTTTCTCGCTTTGCCCGTTTCGTTTCCTCCGAACTGGTGGGTAGAGCTACGCCTTTACGATTCACGTAACGAGGAGTTAGAAAATTCAGACGCGCACTCGTGTGATCCACATCTAGCAAAGGCTGTTCTGTATTCTGTATGGTGAGCCCATATTTAACTAGATAATAATGTTTAAAGGTGCGATAATGGTCGCCCGGAAAGCAGCTTAGCGGCGACAAGTGTGGACAGATTTCGGCTACATAGAAGTATTGCGGCTGATCCTGGTTTCGGTACCAGGGCATAACGACAGCATCCTGAAAACGCTGCGCCTCGAACTCTTGCGTTTGCCGTTGTTCATCTGGCACTGGTTGCGGCATCATGTTCCCAGTGGCTTGAATGAGCTCCAAAAACTGCCAATCAATAACCCGACTGTCTGGTGTCGACCTTATCGTTGGCACAATGAACACACAGTTTTCCGTGGAGTCTGGATCGAAGAGCATGAGGAACTTTTGCAGGCGCAGCACATTTGTAAACGTATAGTTAAGGAAGACATTGATGCAACTTATCTGCTCCTCAGTTAAGACAACACGATCCCGTGCCAGTTCCAGCGATACTTTCACCTCACCAGATCTTGTAAATATTGAGAATGCGCTCAGCTTTGGTATGCGCTTCAGTGTCAATATGCCGAAACCTTGCTGTGCCTCTTCTGGCGGATAAATTTTGCGACCGCGGGTGTTTTGCTCCTCGGGTATAGGACACTGCAGTGTTAACTGAATGAAATACAGATAGCAAGCAGCACCTACAACAGGACGGCAGTCACAAAACTCCGATGCAATTCGCTTATAATAGTATTGTCGCCGTTTTGTTGTGCCCGGCCGCGGCTCGTCGTTTTGTTGCACTATCTGCTCATCCTCTGGCTCCAAATCAAAGCACTCCCAGTCCGGTTCCAGTGCCCGAAAGCCTTCCTTACCGATGGGCTGCAGCTGATCATCCAGTTCACCAATTTTATGCAGCTGCACACAGGCCTGAAATGCGGCCAATCGTCGTGCCAGTGTCTGAGTGGGCATCGGCAGACCCTTAAATGGGAAAATAAATTGATTTCAAATATTAATCCTACTTTGAATACTCAAAACTATTAGGCACTTACAATAATATCATGCTTTAGTGGTGAATTGATAGGCAGGCGTAACGTATACTGATAAAGTGTGACGCCTTGGCGGACTACGCTCGCACAACGCCACAGAGCAGTTAGCTTGGTGAAGGTATCACTGGGCAGGCGGGCACAATATTTGTTGACCAGCGCTATGGCAGTACTTAAATCAACTGAGGCGCCGGTCGCCAAATGTGGCTTGGGCCTATAGGCGGCAAGGCAGCTGGTGAAGCGCTCTGCTTGTATCTGTTCCATCTCGGCGGGCTCCGTATTAGCGCATTTAGATAACAGCATCTAGGATAAATAAAGCGAGAACTCTTAGATTTGGTTTGCTGCCTCTTCATTAATTAATCCCCATTACCTGTTCGATTTCGCGATATTGTGCCATTCGATGCACTAGCACCTGCGTTGTACTTGTTAGTTTGTCTGCCGTAACCGGAACATTTACTTCCGTGTTTAAGTCAATATCTGGCATCGCGTGGAGCTCGCATTCGAAGCGTTGCTTGGGCCGACGCTCGGCACTTCTGTCACTGGGCGTGGTATTGGACAAGCTAATGGCATCGTCACTGGAATTGCCGGCATCTAGCACAGCGGGCACCTCATCGTGAATCTCCTGCAGTATTATATCACACATGGTGGGCGGTTGGTTGCTGAACACTTCTGGATTGAGTATTTTAACCGTTCCACGGGCTGTTCCAAAAGTATATGGATCGGACGCAAGCGAATTGGGCAGTGCAGAGTCATCTGAATCGCTATCTAACTCCTGGTCAACTTCCGCAGTATCATCGCTGTTCGTTGCACAAATAAATCGATGGCTCTGCTCATTGAGCTGTACTGCAACTTCAGTCGTCGCTTCAGTCGGATCATAAAGAGGTGCTACGAGCATAATGTGGTAAGCTGGTGCGGCTCGCGCACGTCCCTTGCACTGCACATAACTGCGGTAGGTAATAGGTGGATCCCAGCGTATTACAAGATTGCACTTAGGAACGTCAATGCCCTCCTCCAGCACTGAGGTGCCAATTAGCACATTGCAATCGTGCATTCGAAACCGTTTGAGCACGTCCTCTTGGCGCCTATGCTCCTGTTCAGCTTCTTTTGGCTCTGTCGTGGGATCAGCCACGCGATCCGTTGTATACTGGCAGCGTAGAAACTTGAGATCAGGATCACGTCGACTCAGCTCCGCCAACAGTTCAAATAGAACACGAGCCGTGTGATTTTGATTGCAATAGATAAGCGCACAGAGGGTCTCGCTGGCGTCATGCTGGTGTCGATTGTGCCGCCTTGTGTGTATCCGCCTTCTCGTGTGTTGCTGCCCATTAGATTTGGATTTTGCTGTGGGCGTTGGTTGATTCGTTGGAGTATCGTCTTCAGCGTTAGCTTTTGTTTGCGTCGCTACCTTCGGTTCGTTTTCTACTAATTGGACGAGTTGCTGAAGATTGTTAACTATGCTACGTGTTTCCACATTCTGTTCATCGAGCTGCTCAACTACTTGACACTTGGTTTTCAGTGCTTGAGAAAGTTTATTAAAATCCGCCTGATCCACTTGATGACGCATTTTGCGCAATCCCTCTGTTTGGGTGTGCGCTTCAGCTGGCTTAAAGGAGCGTAGCACACGCAACAGTCGCCGCACCTTGGGACTGGAGTACCGCTCAATAGTACCAAGTGCATCCTCGACCATTAGCTTTTGGAATGTTTGCTCGCACAGGGCATTTATTTCGATCAACGCTGTATTCACTAGGCAGAAAAGCAAATAGTGGCGTTCGTGTGGAGTTTTCACTTTAAGTTTCTCGTTGCGTTGGTAGAAATGAAGTGCAGCGCGTTGCGTACACCACGGTCCCATTTCATGGAGCACAGAAAGTAGAGCGTCCAGCACATTGAGCGGATCCAACTTAGGGTCGGGAATATCTGTAAAATTAATTTATAAATGTAATAAGAAAAAAAAGGAGCTTGAGGCTGTGATCATAATCAAATACCCTTTAGATCCTCCATGAATTGATCGGTGCCATAAATCTCGAAGGGATCATAGCGATGATCACTTAAGAACGACTTATGCGTAGTTAGAATATCGACTATCACACGGGACAAATGGTCCATTTCCAAGGGCGCACATTGCACAATATACTCAATTGGCTTGGCACAGTATCGCAGAACGGTGACAATGTCGCTGGCAGTTTCGATGCGACACAACATTTGCTGTTCCAATGTATCCAGCATTGCATTAAGTTCCTCCAGCTCACAGTTTGCACTATGCAAAGGACCAGCCATCCCCAATATTCGGGGACGATCGGAAGACTTTGCAGGCAGAATAAACTCCTCAAAAATGGGCAAAATGCTTCGATAGACAGCGCTGTCGTGACAATCCTCAAGCACAATCAGTTGAACGCTACTTAAAAGCAAATCTCCAGCTTGCAGCAGGCATAGAAAGGAAGTTGGTTTGTGTATACTGACATGGTAGTCGGTCCAGCAATGATCAGCAGGAATTTCCTGATTCGGCTGTTCCTGCCACACTTTGAGATCAGTCAGATGTGTGAGCATCGTGTAGATGGACGTGTTCTCAGCATCAATCTGGTTTGTCAGGTACACGCTCACTTTACCATTCCGGCGCCCTTGCCTGGACAGCTCCTGCAGCAACTTGAGTGCTATAAACTCTTTGGAGCTTCTATGGCCCAGGCAGATAATGGTGTTGCGCTCAAAGGCAGACGCCAGCAGCTCCACTTGGAAGTCCCGCGGAGTGAACACTGTGGTATGCAGGTTGTTATCGCACCAATGGAACGCCATAATGACATTTGTCTCCAACACTCCCGAGTCTGCTGCAGTTCCACTGCAATTGGAATTGGTGGGTAATCCACAATGTGGAAACGCCGGTTCGGATGCTTTTTTGCATCATCGATAAGTCGATTGGTGTAACTTGCCACTCGATGAATATTCACGATATATCGGTAAGCATTAACATTAACATTTGCACACGGCTAGTTAACAGTTTGGCGATCGATGTTGCTATACTAACATTTCATCACCTAACTCGAAGGAAGCCGGAGCAAAGCGGCAATTCGAAATAATCGAATTATTTATTTAAATTTTAAAATTAAAAATAAAACTTATGCGGCGTTCACAAGCGCCATCTATACGCAGAGCAGCCAAAAGGGGTGCCTCTGCTACTGAACTGGAACCTGCCAAAAACGTTGCTTCTCTGGAAATGCAATGGGGCACGTCTGGTGGTTACAAGGGATTTAGGCCACAAAAGTACAATGATGGAGAGAACCCTCTGAAAAATAAGAGGATTTTCCTGGTGCTATGGCGAAAACAGTCAAATAAAAAACATAAAACATGGACAGGCAATGGAACTCTCGAAGTGACTGCCACCAAGGCTACTCTAAAGGATGAAACAGGAAAGTTGATGGACGTTTTGACGTGTTTTAAGCAGGATACTATTCAAGAAGATGCCCTGCTAGAAATCGGCATGAGGGATGTTGAGATACAAGTGGAGCTCAGGACGGCCGATGAATGTATATCGCAACGGAGCGAAGAAATTGAAAACTGGTATCGCCAGCAAGAGGACTCGACCGGCATGGTGTCCGTTCTTAATGAAACCGTCCGCAAACTCCCGAGACCGATGAATATTCTGAAAAAGCCAAAACGATCATCGGAATTCAAATGCGATGTCGTCGTTGCAGCTGCTCCTCCCATCAAACTAAACGAATATATTTGCATGTTGGCACCAGCGGAACTTCAATGCCAGTCAATGCAGTTGCTTGCCGATTATTGTCAAGATTTGGAAATGGTAATGCATATTTGAACATTTTTGTAAAACAGAACTATATGTACGTAATATATTTTAGCAACAATTTTGTGGGACAGAAGACGTTTTTGAAATAGCTCAACAGATTTGCGATCATCCCGTGCTTCTAAGGCACATAGAACATCAACATGTTGTGTCGGAGGCATTGCTGCCCCACATGCCGCCCTGGCAGGAGATGGGTCTTTATGACTCCGCCAAATTCGAGTTTGTGCATTTAATGTTGGACAATTTGGTTATAGCGCAAGACGAGAGATGTGCCATTGTGGCAAACAGTCAGAGCTGCTTGGACATCATAATCGGTTACTGCCAAAGCTGGGATATATCATACGTCCAAATCGAAGACTCCTTTCAAGCAGACAGCTTCAATAGGGCCTGTTCGAACGGCGCCAAAGAGCCAAAGGTGGCTCTTTTATTGGCTAGCTATCTGTCACAAATGCACCTGGCTAGCTGCAAATACGTAATGCTCTACAATTTTAGTGCTCGATCGCAAATTAGGCATTTGTTGGCAGCGGACGCTCGAATTTACACGCTAATCACAGCTGGATGCTTTGAGGAGTGGCAGTTCCAACAGCATTTGGGACTTTTCAATGGCAGCGAATCATTAATGGATGCGCTTAAGCTGCGTGAGAATGTCACACATCAGTCGCAGGTGAGTAGGTGAGTTTTGAAAATTTTAAGAACTTTAGTTAAAGCTTGTATATTACAGATATTAGTGGATTGGGACCGATGGCAACCTCCATTTAGCGAAGAATTCTTACAGGTTTGCATATATCTCAATATCGAACTGTATACTATTTCATGAAACTTATTTTTTAGGAAGTATTTCTACTCATTGACTTACCAAGCTTAAAATACGTCTACAGCAAACAGCATGAAGGACGTTTGGCTAATCTCTTAGATTAAATCAATTTTTAAGTTTTGTATTACATTGTTTTTGTTCTACATCTTTGGTTAAGACAAGATGGTATATGTATATATAGATATAGATCTTGGCATAATTATTACATCGTAAGCTTTTGAACAGCGTCTAGGCGCAGTGAGTAGTTATTATCGACTTCATTGTAAATAACCTCATCGCAGTTGATAATGGCTCCAATAGCCAAATGTTTTTCAAGACGTGTCAATTGCTCCTCGGTTATATCAACGGGCATATCCAGCAGATCATATTCAGTAGTTAAGATAGGAAATGTGAATTGTGGCGGATATGGACGTATGTCGTTCACATGGATTGCTGCAATGTTGCCGTAGTCAATAAACAAGATGCTTGGATGACCATCGCCCACTAGTTCCATGCACACCCCTCGGCACCATTTGTCTTGGTATTTGGCAATACAAAGGTCATTCTTACTGAAAATAAAGTAATTTTAGTTCAAATAAATACTTCAGCAACAAAATTTGACGTACGACGCTGCAAAGAATTCACATTTGGCTATGGAATCGCCATAGAACTGCATATCACGCTGCATTTCAGTTATTTCGTATGCGTAATCCAGAATTGTGCAGTGAATGACACCAAATTTAATGAACGTGTTGTCCATGACAACCAGTTCGATATTCTTGCCTGTAGGCAAATGCACATGCTGCAGAAACTGAAATTAAAAAATAGATCAACAATGGAATCAACAGTTCATTTCATGTTTTCTTGTCTTACGTCTTCTTTACAGCCAATTTCTGAGATCGAGGGCTCCACTGGAGTTACAATTGTCTTAATCAATCGATTTAAGCTGCGATTAAGTTCACTTTCAATAAGAATGACGCGCTGCATGCCCTTGTCAGGGTCAAATTCACGCTCCGAGTACTTCAGCACAAATGTATACGTGTGGTCTAGCTCATATAGCATGCTGCGCAGATTGGGAGACATGAAGCGCCTGGGCACGCCGCGAAGCAGAACAGGCACAACATAGCGCGGCAAACCCGCCAAATAGTCACTGCACTCGTATAGTGTGTCAAGCGCTGTAACCTCTATATTGCCATAATCGACACACACCACATAAATGGCCTGCGGATTGTCGACATTCAGCACCATAGCCCGCACAGTCTGTATACTAGATTTGTGGATCACTATTTGACCACAATGTGGCAACCGCATCAGTTTGGGTGCCACTTTACCGCGGAACATCACATCTGACAGCACTTTATAGTAGGCAATCTCAGCTACAATTTCTGCTGAGCGCACGTATAAAACATTGCTTTGCTCAAAGGCAGAGATTTTAACGTTGGAACCAGAGGGTGGCAATTTTAGCTTTGTAAATTTGGAAATAATGGTATCGTCAATTACGGGCGGGCTGCCCTTGTTACAGCTCTCCTTGTGCACAGCGGCCAGCGCGTCGAAGCAGATAGTATTACAGAAGGGCATCTGACAGAATTTGCAACTGTTGTCCGTGTAGCATTTGCATGAAAAGCACTTCTTTGCCAGCTTCTCCAGCTGAAGCTCAAAATGGGTTGGCTTAGCTTCAAGCTGGTTTTTGGGGCTACATAGAATGAAAATGTATCAAAAGATAAGTAGTTGTTCTACATGCATTATACCTACGTAACTATTGAACGACCGGATCGAAAGTGTAGCACAGCTTGACCCTTTTCAATGGTCTCTTCCAAGTTATAGGCTCCATGTCGCTCCAGCATAAACTCATATTTAACATTCAAATAGCGAAAGTTCTCATCGTTGGCGGCCAACTGAGAGCTTTTATTACTATAGTCAGATTTGATAACAATGGGTGACTTAAAGAATTCCGGATGTTTTTTCTTGTTCGCCGATAGTTGAATCGTGCGAGATTCTAAGTTCACAGAATTTGGCTCACATGAAGATGGCGGCAGCTGAGCCACAGTTTTTACTTCGCTCTCTTTCAGCAGGGCGGTGTTAAATGAGTTACTTTGTTGTCCACGGCCATCAACGCAATGCACAATATTTGGAAACTGATGAATCTTAGTCCAGGCTGCCTCAAGAGATCTAAATTTGAGATAGAAAATAAGTCACTTCAAGCTCGAAAATAAAAAAATGTATGCTTTTCATAATCTATACCCAATATTATGAAAATAAACGTGAAACTCGCGTGGTACTGAGCGATATTCAATTTCATAGATAATGTCGCCAAAATAATTTCTCAACAAATTCTCCGTTATAAATTGATTTTTCTTTTTGATAACCAAATATGGATATTGTAATTGTTTTGTGAGCCGAGCGAGGTTATCATTATCTTTTGCTGGCGCTTCCATGACCTTTTCATATTTGTTTGAAGTCTCTTCAAAATAGTGCTGAGCTATGGGATTCCAATCTGACCAATCGTCTTTAATGTCAGCCATTATTTATTATATCAATAAGCAAAAGGAAATACGCAGTTCCAAAACTTGTACGCGCAATAAAAATTAAATATCCTCACTGACTTAAAATATCGATACAATTTCCGCTTAACAGTACTGTGCATAAATTAACATCGAGGCCAATTGAACAACAAACATGAAAAAACTGAGCAATCGAATAATCGTATTATGCGATTCATCGATATATTGTTTCACATCACAAGAGAACTCAACACATACACTTAAACGCCAAACGAAAACAAACAAAAACATAAATTTGTTTGCAATGGTAAAAAACGAACCCAATTTTGTTGTTGAACGCATCGTGGACAAACGAATCACATCTGATGGCAAAGTAGAATATTTTATTAAGTGGCGTGGCTATCCATCCGGCGACAATACCTGGGAGCCGGAGGAAAACTGCGATTGCCCTGCTCTCATACAAAAGTTCGAAGAGTCCCGAGCCAAATCTAAGAAACGCGGCGAAAAGAAACCAAAATGTGAGGAAATCCAAAAGCCGCGGGGCTATGAGCGTGGCTTGGAACTGGCAGAGATTATGGGTGCAACGGACGTAACGGGTGAAATCAAATACCTTGTTAGATGGCAATTTTGTGACGAGTTCGACTTAGTGTCAAGCAGCCAAGTAACCGAGAAAAATCCGGAAATGCTCATTGAATACTATCAGAAGATGGCTCCTTACACTGGCTACATCAATAAGCGTATGCAGGGCGTGCCCGAAGAGTTACGTGCAACAGCGGCGCAAACGGGCTATGCTGTCAGCAGTGCTCCTACGGATGCAGTCGAGCCATCCGTATGCAGTGTTGATTCCGAGCAGCTGCCGTCGGTAGCACCAAAACAAGTGTCACTTGATGTACCCGTACAGCAGGAAGATGCTGCAGATTCTGAAATGGACAATGTTGGTGTTTCCTATTCCATACCCGTACCGGGCGTGGGTAACATTGCTATTGATGTCCCAATGGTAGACAATTGATAGAGAAAGATTTACTTGACTAGAAATTAACGTACTTTTATAATTATATTATGAAAATTAAAACACAATTTCAATTAACTAATTAGATTCTTCGTCTAAATTAATAGCTCCCAGCTGTCCAGTGCGAAAGAAACTAATAAATTTGCGCGCAGCAGCCAATAAATTTGTCATCACTTCCACCTGACCATTGTATTGCTTGACACGATGAAACATAGCCTGTTGCTGAGCATATTCTGCCAGCACGGCGCTTATGTTGTCGCTGGGACCGGAGTGTAGACCCAACATTTTCACATACTCGTAGCGCTTGTGCTTGTTTAGCCAATACAGCAAATAGTCGGCAATCAGGTCCTCGCCAACGATATGATCTGGCAGGCAGCCAACTAAGGCCAGTTTCATGCCCATTTCATCATCTGTGATTGAGGGCTGCAGTATGCCGGGTGTATCAATCATATAAACCGGTGGCTGTTCCTGGATTTTGATGCGCTCACCGACGGACCGCGTAATACCGGCCTCGGCGCCAACGCGTGCCGCGCTGCGTTTTTTGAGATGTACATTTCGTAGAACATTGATGATGCTGCTCTTGCCGACATTGGGCACTCCAATTATCATTATATTGTGCTCGGAACTTTGTGCTCTATTGAATCGACTACTCTCCCCCACTAACTTGGTTGCCAATGGCAATATGTCTAATACACCGGTATTACGCTGATCCTTGCAATTTGTAAAGAGAATATTTTTCAGTTCTGGCTGATGAGTACGAAGCTGCTTGAGTATTCCACGTTGTTGCTTGCCGCCCAATAGATCGATCTTATTCAGTACTAATATATGAGGTTTCACGCCGTTGCCTATGGAAGTACATACATATTCGAATAATGTACAAGGAACAGTAATTTGATTTGCTCACCCGTAATGGTCTCAAAGAATTGTGAATTTCTGCCGGCTATAGGAATGCGCGCATCGTGTATTTCAACAATGCAATCGACGGAGCGTAGCTTTTGTTGTATTTGTCGCATGCCCTTGGTCATGTGGCCGGGAAACCAGTTGATGCGTTGGCTTCGACTTGGCAGACGAAATACAGTTCGAAAAGGATTCGCCAACGACATGTTTACGTTCTTAAAAGCAGCTGTTTGCTTGTGGCGTAACAGTTGCCCATTAAGCAATCGATATTAAATGTGCCAATATGTTATCGATAAGTACATTGCACTTTTGCGAACCATTACCTTACAGTTATTAAAATTATTTTTACACAATTAAGAAGACATTTGATTAATACAAGTTAATATGGTGACCAATTATAAAAGAAAAAACTAAAGAAATATTCTTCGACTTATTTTTAAATAATTGTATAACATCACAAAGGTGAACAGTAAGACAGCTCTTATCGTTTTTGTCAAAAGAAGTGATTCACTTGAAAAAGCTAACAAAACTAACTCTTGTCGGGAAATTTAAAATGAATTCTATAAATGTTGATGACTTAACCCTTGGTGAAGTATATTTTTATAAAAATATGTTTGTTTAAGGTTTAAAGGTTTAAACACTTATTTTTAGGTTATTGGGGAAGGAAATAACGGAAAAGTGTATAAAGCCAAATGGCACACAAAAGATGTCGCTGTGAAAAAGATTGACTATTATCCACAAAACTCCACCGAGGTTAAAGAACTTTCGCGTGCAAACCATGAGAATATCGTCTTTTTGCATGGTACAGCAATCAGCAATAACACTCTCTACCTGGTAATGGAATTAGTGGATGGAGGATCTCTAGAAGCATTGATATATTCCGAAAATCCGAAGTATGAGATAGCTCATGTCATAAATTGGGCTCTTCAGATCGCCAAGGTATATATAAATGAACTTATACACTTGCAAATAAAATAATATCAATCAATTATCTTTATTGATAGGGCATTGAATACATGCATAAAAAGAGACTGATTCACCGTGATCTTAAACCGTACCACATTCTGTTATGTGATAGGCATCGACATTTGAAGATTTGCGAATTTACGTACGCAAGATTTTTAAGTGAATCGATGACAAATAACATTGGCACTGCCGCCTATATGGCCCCAGAGGTTCCTATTCCAGCTATGACCACTTATAAAGAATTATGTTGATAATTATATGAATTATAGGTTTTCAACGATCAGGAGTATACCGAGAAATGTGACGTTTATAGCTTTGCGATAACTTTGTGGGAAATGTTATCACAGAAAAAGCCCTATGGGAAAAATAACTTACAAATATATGAGGCAGTTTTGAACGGTATTTACAAAATTCCTGCAACATTTATATCAAATATAATTAAATTTAAATTATTACGTTTTAGGCGAAAGGCCTTCCCTGGATGATATAAAATTTCCGTGCCCGCAGGAAATAAAACAATTATTGACCAACTGCTGGAGTGCAGATCCAAATGAACGTTACTCCATGACTGATATTATTGATGTGCTAAATAAATACCCTATTGTCGTTGAACAACTGAGCTTGTAAAAAGGTACGGGCTCAATACAACCATCAAATCTGATACTGATTATATTTTACCTATTTTGATTTAAGACTAAAATTTACCGATTGCTTTGTAATAAAATCACATCTCCGTTTTTGTACAAGTCAATTTATAACATTAGTTTTGAAATATGTTTGATTTATGTCTTGCACATAATATTTCCACAGTTTTCATATTTTCATAAAACAATACATTTGAAATACAATTACACTTATAAAATTGCAAAATGAGTAAAACTTCACTTGTATCAAAATTATGCGAAGAAGACTCCAGTAGCATTGATGTGGCATCCATATTTCCGAAAGCATTGCCAGAATTAATAGTGGGCCCCGTTTATGATGAATGTGGCTTTACGCTGAACGAAAGATTGGCTTTAAGGCAGGCTTGGAAGCTAATCAAGCCGTTCGAGCGTCGCTATGGAAAGGAAATTTACTTTGAGTAGGTCGAACAGCTCGCGTACTCAATACATATGAATTATAATATCGATTCCCTAGCTACCTTATGGAAAATTATAAAGTATTTAAAAATTTTCGGATTGACGGCAAGCTGGATATGCATCGTTTGCATGGGCATAGCTTAGCCTTCATGCGGTACTTAAACGTCGTAATCGAACAGAACGATCCGGTATTCTTCCAAAATATGCTCTTTGACAATCATAATATACACAGTCGATATAGGGTATCTCTAAAGCATATGAAGGTACGTAAGACAATTGAATTTGTGTTCAAATTTCGGATCATACTTTCCCGTTTACAGATGTTGCTGGAAGATCTTATTGAATATGTGCTGGAGAAGCTCAAAGATGTTAGCTCGGCCTCGTTGAGGAGCGGCTTTAACCGACTTTTGGAAAAGTTTCAGTTCGATATACCCGAAAAATCTAGTAGTATATTTATGTACGAGTCAAGCGGTGAATTGAATTACAATGATATTTAATAGATATACATGATTAAATCACTCATACGCCACAAAGAACCTCAATTGATTTTCGATTAAAAGCTCAATCCATCCGGGTTTTTACTGCGCGATCAATCTGCAAATGATCCAAGGTTTATACCTACATACGTTGCAAAGCAAAGCTGCAAAGTCGCAGTCGACAGCGCAATCATAACGCTGACGTCGCTGCCACTGCTGCTGCCGCTACTACTAATGCTGCTGCTGCTTCTGCTATTGCTGCTGCTGCTATTGCTACTACTACTCAGGCGGCGGCGGCGGCGGCGGCGGCGGCTGCTACCTCTGCTGCTACTGCTGCTGCTGCTTTTGCTGCTACTGCTACTGCTGCTACTGCCGCAGTCGCCGTCGTGATATATATCAATTGACGAAGTAACGTCGCCATCGACGCTTTGCGCCAGTCTTGGCAGCATTTTCATTTAGCTCTGCTATGAAACGCGTTTCCTTTGAGAATTTCAGTTTTGTTTGTGCGCTCAGTGCACCCATCCACACGTATCGCTACTTAAAACGTTTGCCATTAAGTTTCAACTGGACAACAACAAATTTGCTTAAACAAATTGATAAGAAAATTATCAAAGGTTTTACAAAAAAAAAAACTCAAATTTAAATGACAAAATCTTGATTTTTTCTACTACTTCGTATACGTAATATATGCACTATGGTCGCGACCGACGATATTAAAAAGGTATGTGTTTATGCAAAGTCAAAAAGCGTTTATAATAAATACAGTGTTAAAGTCTTTAAATATACAAAATAAGGTAAAAAAAAGAATGTTTTTAGTTTTTAAATTCAAGTCTGGGTTACTCAAAAGTATGCTATGCTTAGCTCTGATAAATTGACTCGATGTATGAACTACATATTAAATAATATTTCATAAAATATAAATAATCTACAAGCTATAAGCTGATTTACTACCTATTAGCTGCTCCCACTTGGTTAGATAACTTATCTTGACCACGGCATCGAGATTCCTTAATCTAGTGCCGAAAAATTCAAAATGTTGTTTATAACGTTGAGTTATTAGATTTCATAAATTATTCAACGTCATACAAACCCATATTGAAATACCTTATAGTTCACCTTGACTACACGATCATTGCGCAATGAATTAGAACTTTACGTTTTTTTCAGCTCATAGTCGTAGAAGTACTAACAAATAACTACCCTACAATAAAATAACTAACCTAGCAATAAAAAAACACTCGAGTTTTGAATACGTGTTGGCACATAATTTTATTCAACAGGTTGGGTATGTTGTAGCTGCGCAGACCCTTGCTTAAGCAACTTTTATGACTCCCCAAAATGCTACCACTTAAGGAACAGAAGCACAATCAGAATGCCTAAGTTCACGTGTGAACTGACTGACTTTCGATTATGCCTGATTCTAGACCTTTGAGTATGACGACTAAGTGGATTGATTCGCACGCATTTGTCATTCGTAGTTTAGATGTGCCGATTTATCCTCCACTGATAACAGTAAAAAGAACGAAACATTGTTGTATTTTGTATGGAACTCTTGTCAAACATTTGCCAATAAAAAATTATTGTTTATTTTATCAACTCATATGCTTATACTCTGCAGAGCTTTCGCTCTGGACCCTATCGCTTGCTTGTTTATGTTTCCCGGACCGGACATTATTATCTTGCTTGTGCGAGCTGTCGAGTAATCTGCGAAGAACAATAATATTTACATGTTCATTTAGGTCCATATCGTGGGCAACGCATTTGCCATAAATAATGCATTTCACAAACTTATATCTCTATCTATAACTGAAAAGAGTATATTGGCTTTGTGCACTGTTCTACCAGCTGTCCTAATTGGTATAAGCTGTACTCGTACTCGTTGTGAATTTGTCAACTGAATTTATTAATTTTTGGTAACATAAACGAGTGGCTTATTGTTCAAAGATCAATTGAAATTGCCACTCTAGGCGTGGCAACAATATAACTTACAGTGCATACTCTAGCTTAGTCTTCAGCCTCTAATTACTAGCGCATACAAACATTCACACACACATAGACATTTATATTCCCAAATACTTATGCACACACACTTACTTATATACACCTACCTACAGACACACTTACACATATTGATTCAAATTTCATCTAGCAATAAAAAGTTGCTTTTGTTTTATTAGACAAATTCTAAGTGATTGTACACTTGCGTTCGATTATCTGGTACACACCTTCAGGTAGAACTGCAGCTGAATTTCTAATTGACGCTGTGCCCGCCAATGCAAATAGAAACGTATTTTTTTACGACATTTCTAATCGCACATTCGCCAGAGCCACCGAACGCTCATAAATTTGCAAGCAAGCCCTTCCTGAGCGCACGAGCGCTTACGACGACGACGAGCCTTCGTTGCGTCTTCGTGCGCAGCGCATGACACGAGGCGCATCGGCGCCAAGAGCACGGCCGCTGCCGATGCTGATGCCGACGATTGCACTTGACATTGGGCCATCGGCAAAGGGGAATCGGCAAAATGTAAACAGAGCAAAGCAAACATCGCAAAACTAATTAGCATGTGATGCGCCTCTTTTGCCTAGTGGTGGGTGGGTGTGTCTGTGTCTTTGCTCGGCAATTGCATATCCTCTCCCTCTCATACACTATCGCTCACTCGCTCCTTCTCTTACTGGCCCGACCTGTTGTTGTCATTATGGCGACAGGTTTATTTGGCATTTGAATTGCAATTGACGCCATTAAATGCAATTACGTTTGCATACTATAAATATTTTTTAATTAAACATTCCATTTTGATAACAACTGAAGTGCTCGTTTGCATTCCTAAAAGGATTTCCATTTAACACTTAAATACAAAAAAAAAGTATTGATTAATTAATTAAATCTTTGACAACTCGATAAATATTTCTGCTTTACATTTTTGGCATAGCTAATAAAACTATTTTTTATTTTTCATTTTCTGTTCTGCTGTTAAGCGGATCTGATCACAACAATTTCTAATTATACATGCGCATACGTATTTCCCACTATTAATACATATGTATCTATGTGTGTATATGAACTTGTAAGTATATCTATTTTGTATGTTTCTAAATGCTTTTACCTGACGCATTTGGTTGTCGTCGAATGCATTTTTGGCAAAAGCAACAGCAACGCAATTTTTTATAGACATTGCAGGAAGCGTTAGTTTGCTTGGACCAAGCGGCGTATGCGTAACATTTCTATGAGAATATGTTTATTATGAAATCGTTTGGTGTGTGTTGAGTCGCAGCTGCGACCATAATATTTATTATTTTAGACACGAATTTATGTCCGAGTGAAATTCTTAGCTGCTTTTACTTTTCTATTTTTTATATCTAAAAATTTGTATCTCGTTTTCATTATTTGGCACCTTTTTACACACATCGAACATATGCGATGCACTGTTCTATTGTGTCTGACGTCAAATTTCAAATCTTCTGCAATTAAATGCGCGTATTTTGCTGGCAAAACAATGCAAACTAACTTTTGGCTTGCAACAAATATGAAATACTCTCGAAAAAATTTCACATATTTTCAAAACTAATATAACATGTATTTCAAGAGAATATATATCTATTTATAGTACGTCTATTTATAGTATATTACCTAAAGAGATGAAATTATTATCAAAATAAAAGTCTAATGTCTAATCAAATGCCTCGAAGGTATCAACTTCTTCATTCATACAAAATAGATTCTATTTTTATGTGTCACAACTGAGCTCATTGAGCGTATATACCTCGGCCATTGCATCTCTAGAGTAGCAGCAAAAATAGAAGCCCCGCAAATATCTTAAGAAACGAGAAGAAAATACGCTTTTCGAAGAGTCGCCGAAACAGTCGTCTCCAACTGTGTTGGCCGCGCGGAACAAAACACTCGACTAAATTTAGCGAAAAATACATTTCTCTGCGTATAGCTATAGAAATGTTTTATTTTAAATGAAATTAATGAGCAAATATTAAAAGGGAATATATATTTAGCTAATATATAGAGAGATAACAATTTGAAGTGTATTCGGTTAGTCTTTGTGTTTATATAACGATATATTTGATTTCGGAAAAACCTGACAATGGACTCGGATAAAGTTGTGGGCGCCATGGCGCGCTGGTGGCAGGTAAAGGCCAAATCTTGTCTCTAATTCTGATTCTAATGCCAGAAATACTATAGCATTCATATGCACACACCTTCTTTTTTAAAAATAAACACACTCACACTCACACACACTTTCTCTTAGGTATTTATTAAAATTTTACGTTAGATTTTTTGACCTCCATTTGTTCTTTGCCCGGCAATCGGGAGTTTTTGAGAGCTTTCAGAAATAATATGCTACCATAGATACTCTACATTCTTCATCATACTGGCTTGATAAGGTTGCCCACCATGCTTGAGCTCCTCATCTTTTTGGCTCAGTTTGTGTCACGGCACGTGTTGGCGCATTCGAAAATACATTCACCTCAGCAGTCAATAGACGAAAATACTTAACGAGATTTCAATTTCTTTCCTTTAGACTGTTAGCCAAGAGGATAATGATGTCACGTCACACAATCCAATGCTCTACGATCCACTGGATGGCGTCGTGAAGACCTCAAAGACCCGCCAATATATTGCAGCTCTCATCAGTAAGAGTATAGGATCGAGTATTGATGATGATAATCTTAAAACTTTGCTCTATATTTTTACAGTTTGTCTGGGCGCCGTAGCTGCGGGCACAGCCTTGGCCTGGACCAGTCCCGTGCTGCCTCAAATCAGTGCTCCCGTGGTCACTAATAGCACGCTAGTGACCCCAACCAATGCCACTGGCAATGACACTAGTCCTATTTCTTTACCTATGCCACACGATGATCAACTACAGCTAACTGTCACTCAACGTAAGTTTTCTTTATAACGCTTATTTCTTATTACGGTGCATTGATCATCTCTTAATCGATAGCAATTTAATCTAAATCTATATACTCATAGACAAAAACAATATAGATAAAATAAATAAATTCTATAATCTACAAGACTAGACTAATTTCCATTTGATTACGCTCTCTTGCTCAAAACATTTATTTATCATAAACTTTACTCTTGAGCTTTTAAGATAAATAAATTTTAAAAAAATTAAATGAAGTACTTCATTTTGGGTCATACCACTTATTCTGCATTTTCTGAATTTTCTGTATGAAAAACCTTATCTTTAACCTTTTAATCAATTTTGCATTAAGTCTCTCAACAAATAGTCATATTGTTCACTGACATCAGTTGGAAATTAAGGGTCTAAGTGATTGAGCAGTGGTCATCAATAAGTCAATCATTTAGTCAGGCTAAACCGTCAGATCTGCAGATCAATGACAGTCGCTTCCCTCAGATATAGTTTACTTCCAGAAAACATGAAAATGTAAATTCTTAGTCTAGAGCCTCAATCATTCAATCAGTCAGTCAGTGCAAACAGTTTTACAGCGAATCCATGACAATAGTATAGTATAAAAGTATCTACATAGGATAGACTAGCTTCTCTCAGTATTTAGACTTTCCAATGCTGATTAAAGCACATCTTTGGCTGCTCATTGATCATCAATCGATCACTCAATTAGTCGGGGCAAACAGTCTTACACGTGTAGAATGATGATAATTGTTTTTTACGTTGTTTACTTGCAGAGACTTGGGTTAGTTCGCTACTGGCCATTGGCGCCTTCTTGGGCGCCCTGCCCACGGGCTATATAGCCGATGCAATTGGCAGACGTTACACGGCAATGGCGATGGATGTCCCGTTCATTTTGGCCTGGCTATCGATAAGCTTTGCCAACTCAGCCGGTTGGCTGTACTTTGGCCGCTTTCTAATTGGTAAGTTCTTTAACTCATCTAAAGATTGATTTCTATTTAAGTTACTTTCGACTTCCTTTAGGCATATCGACGGGCAGCTTCTGTGTGGTGGCGCCGATGTACATCTCAGAGATAGCTGAGACTAGCATTCGCGGCACGCTGGGCACTCTCTTCCAGCTGCTGCTCACCATGGGCATACTCTTCATTTATATTGTCGGCTCCATGGTCTCTTGGGTTACGCTTAGCATTATGTGCCTGTTCGTGCCGATTGCTCTGCTCGTGGGCATGATCTTTCTGCCTGAGACACCTGTCTATCTGCTGAAGAAGGTGAGCTCTTGCTCCACATGCTGCATGTCCATGCGATCTAATTGATTTGGGCTTCTGTTCGCAGGGTCGTCGTGCGGATGCAGCATTGTCCCTCAAGTGGCTGTGGGGTCGCTATTGCGACTCGCGCAGCGCCATTCAGGTCATACAAAACGATTTGGACCAGGCGGGCGCCGATGCCACGTTCTTGGACCTGTTCACCAATCGTGGCGCACGCAACGGACTCATCATCTCCATTTTGCTGATGTTCTTCCAGCAATTCTCGGGCATCAATGCGGTCATATTCTATACGGAGTCCATATTCAAGTCGGCTGGCAGCAGTCTGGATGCCTCTATTTGCTCCATCATTGTGGGCGTGGTGCAGGTGATCATGACGCTGACCTCATCGCTACTCATTGAACGGGCTGGCCGCAAGATATTGCTGCTCTTCAGCAGCACCGTGATGACCATTTGCCTGGCCATATTGGGCGCCTACTTTGACATGAAGGAGAGCGGCAAGGATGTCTCGCATATCGGCTGGCTGCCGTTGCTGTGCATGGTGCTGTTCATCATTACCTTTTCGGTGGGCTACGGACCCATTCCATGGCTGATGATGGGCGAGCTCTTCATGCCCGATGTCCGAGCCACCGCTGTGGCGCTCACGGTCATGGCCAACTGGCTGTGCGTGTTTGTGGTGACCAAATGCTTCGGCATCATGATAACGGATTGGGGCTCGGACATAACTTTCTGGTTCTTTGCCAGCTGCATGGCGTTGGCCACAGTTTACGTGGCCATAGCGGTGGTCGAAACGAAGGGCAGAAGCTCCAGTCAAATACAAACCTGGCTCAGCGGACATTAAAACCGATTTCTGTGAGAATCTAGAGGGCAAAAGCCATATTACGCATACGCCGTGTGCCAACTCCTTAGCACATAGGCAGCCAATGCCAAGAGACGGGTCTGGCTCATATTGCGCATACGCCGTATGCCACGCAAAATGTACAACATTTATCCATATGGTTTCTCTTCTGAAGTGTAGTTCAATTATTTTCTAAGTACTCAGCCAGTAGTTGTCAACTCAAAGAGATTCGCTTAGCTTTTTATGTACTCTATTCTATATAAATATATTTATATATAAATATATATGTGTGTGTTTTAGGTGTGCGGCTGTAAAGACATGTGCTTATATTTATTTACATATTTAAATATATATGATGTGTCTGTGTATGTATGTATTATTTTTAATCAAGCACCTCAAGTGTGTTGTAATGCACATGCAGCTAGGCTGCATTGGCCCCAATCGATAACCCAACGCGCGCTTTTGATGGGCTGCTTTTGGCGCCTGCTGCAACGGCAACGCCCCTTTGAATCTGGAGCCGCTAATCAGCAGCGGCTGTCATAACAAACCCGATGAGTTTTTTCCTTGCTGGACACGCCCACAATTGGCGCCGTTTACAATCGCAAAGCGATGCCCGCTGGCCTTGCACTTGGCCTTCGTTCGTTTGGCAAGGTCTTCAATTGATAGATAGATAGATAGATCGACGCACCGACGCAAATTGATTCGATGCCAGGTAGCGTCAATTGCAGCCGTTGTTCTTGTTGTTGTTTTCAATTGCTTCAACATTTTCTTTTTTGTCGTATGCAAATATTTAATTACCTTTTTTCGTTCCTGTTGAATCAGGAAACACTATTTGGGAGCCCCCTTTACCTGGCCAGAGCGTCTGTTTGTTCACACAGGTGTAACAGGTTGTTGCCACTGGTGTTGTTGTTGGCAATAAGTGTGCCTGTAATTCCATTTGAGCCAATAATAAATCATCTACAGATAACGGCTCATTGGATATCATATTTATATGGCTGGGCATGTAAAATGTTGTCTGTGTGTCTGGCAAATAGATTGATTTATTTATTCAGCACTCGACACTTGCAAATATACATAACTAATAAACTAGGTACATATTTGCCAAAATAACTTATATCTACAAGTCTAGCAAGCTGCTCTGTCAACAGCAAACCTGACCTAACTCACGCCGAACAACAAATATTGACATTTGTTTGTAAAGTTGTGGCGAAATAAATTGAAATGTAAAAAGTATTTGGCGTAGCTAGAAAGCTAAGAATATCAGATCAAATTATGATACATGTGTAGAAATGTAATTTCGCAAAAATTGCTATAGAAAATATAGAAAATGTTTGGAAAATGCTGTGCAAAATTTATGGCATTTTCCATAATTCTTGGAAAATTTTGGGAATATTGTGAAGTCTATCTACTTGAATTTTATTTTCCAGTATCCTAAAAATATGTACGAAAAATAAAATATATACATATTGAAATTGAAAGTAGTAATGTAAAGCAGTTCTTACCAACTCGTATTTCGACTCATCCTTCTATGCGATTCTCATAGCTTCCACATGATTTTTAATTAAATATTATAGCAACAAAATATTATTTATTATTTATATTACTTGAATTTCAGTTTCGAAAATCCATCCATGCAAAGTATTAAGACTTACTTAAACTTAGTTAAAACTTACTGTAGAAAACACATAAAAGATCACTCAAAGTAGCTTAAAAATCGGTTAAAGTTTTCACGATAAAAATAATATAATAATAATATAATTAAAATATATTTAATATATATATAAATAGATTGAAACTCTCTTTCTTTAATAACAAATTTATATTGAATACTGTCGCTCTATGTGATTCTCATATGTACAAGCAAAGCCCAGCAGGCAGCCTGTGCAATCCCTAGCAGCATTGAAAGTGATTCCTAAAGACTTAATTCATTATAATGATTTATGAATTGGCATAATTCCCTTACACAAAAGCGCATCAGCTTCATTGTGCTGTTACTTTACTCTAATGAATCACTCCTTGGCGAGTCAATGTGCCGCATTCACAGCAAAGTTGAGTTCAATTGATCGACAACACAGCAGCGCACTCCACTGAGATGGGAAACCAGTTTAGAAACTCACAAGACAAAATGCGATTGGCTTCCTTTCCGAAAATGTATACAAATGCAGTAGCAAAGTGCGCCTCCTGACAAAATTAATATATAAATAAATGTATTTTATAATCGATTGGATTAAATTCTGTTTTGCTTCGTGCCTTATGCGATTCCGGGAGGAATCGCGCGCCGCGGCGATGACGCAAATAAATTGCCATTTAAAGAAGCACATCAAATTAAACATACTGATTGCCTACATCGGCGACATTTTAATTAGTCGGCGCATTTTTAAGGCACGCACGTTCATAATACTTAAGATCCGTGCGAGTCTCGTTGGGAAATTTAACTGTAGCGCGACGTCGACTAAATAAGTCAATCCCCCTAGCCAATTGTACGCTGCATATTAATTAACTTCCTCAAGCTGTTTGGCTTACGCTAGTTCTGTTACCCGGTAGAGGGTATCAAAAAGCTGGGATCACTTATGTTACGTGTAGACTGACATTTTGAGTATATATAAAGGCCTTATCTGTATCAATTCTCGCGTTAGAGCAATGACTTGTCTCTCTGCATATCCGTCTTAAGGTCAGAGGGGCTCATCATGATATCGCTTTCTATATGTAATTAAGATTATGATGATAAAATTTTGATACCTTATAACGAATATCCAAAATACATATATATATATATATATATATATATATATGTGATATCACGATAAACCTTCTGTTTTATGTCAACTATATATTTTTGATCTCTATCAGCTCTCTCCATCCATACAGTTATGATTTACCTCTCAAAGGCTATCAAAATTGAATCATGTTATGTGTGTTCTGAGAAGACTGCGATTTAGCTTACGTATATATAGTATAGCATATATAGTCTGTATATGTATGATCTGTATGATCTGTATATCAATGTTAATATAGTGTTGACCTGTCTCTGTGCTTTAGTTAAAAGACTAATTTAGAATCAAACGGAAGTTATTCGAAGCTATTGTCAAGCACAAAGTTTATCAAGTCAGCAGACTGATCTGACCACTTATAGAACTGTCACAATTTCTTGTATGAAAAGCTTATTGCAGATAAATGTCGACTGCAAGTTGGACTGCAATATAAATATATAGTTCTGTAATGAACACTCGGATATCTTATGCTAATAACAGTAATTATATGTTGGGACCTAAAGAAACACTCAATCAAATATAAGCCCAAATATCTGAGGAGGGTATTCAGATTGCGACCTACCCATTATTTTTTTGGCGCGACGTAAAAGATAAATCAAAAATGTTTCCATCAAAGTGTGCGGAACTAAGTCTATACAACATAAATTGAAATTCTGAAACAGTTTCAATTTGTTGTTTATCTACACAATTATAATTTGCCATTTGGCGTATCTAAATTTTAGTATTGACAATTCACAGGGCACAAAAGGCACTATGATAAAAAAAGTAGAATAATTTCAAGCGCAGCTCAGTTCAACGATCGTCCAGCTCTACGCTAATACGATATAATATATATTTAATGGCTATAGTCACTGTAGTGTGTGAACGTATATGCATACACACTGTCCACTGTGTGCTTTTTATCTTACTCGCACTGACTACAGCTAAGCCCGAACTATAGATTCTCGGCTCAATATATTTTACATATAAAGTGAACCCGCGCCATCGTCGCAAAGCTGCCATTCGGTTTCCGACAACGACTGACAACAGTTCTCTACGATCTTAAGTGCTGCAGTGATAAAAAAAAAAGTGCAGTCTTTCCCAATTTGAACTAGGGAACTAGAAAACTAAACTCTCGAGCTTTCAATTAGTTATTTAAATTTAATTAAAAAAGTTAACATAAAACATATTTTTATTAAGTGCTGCGAGTTAATTAATTTTGTTTTAGCAAAATGGGTGAGTGAACTATATAACTACTATAAAGCCTATTAAGTCTAAATGTGAATTATACAAATTAATTTAAAAATGTGTACACTGTGTAGTTAAGTTAGAAGAGTATATTAGTTTTGTGCAGAGTTCGTGTTACTATCACTTCTTTGAGGTTAAAGATTTGGAGATTGGAATTTATGCTCATTTATAGTCCTAAATTCCTTATCCTTTTGGATATACCCTTTAAAGCATAAAGTGTTATCGAAGTCATTATATATATATATATATATATATATATATATATTCACATATATATCACTGCCTGATAAGAATATTAAACTCTTTATGGCTATAGCTTGCTTTAAGCTGTAGCTTAGTTGCAGTCAATTTTCCAATTTTCAAGTGGAATCACGTTGAGCTCTTCTCTATTTCTAGTATAGTTTAAGCGAGTATTATGCAGTCGCAAACGCCCTTTCGACCTTGCAACTTGTTTATTATTTGAGTAGTTATCAAACACATTTAAATTCATTAAGTACTCTGTGTGAATTCGTTGGTTCCAACAAATCGAAACCCCTCTAAACATTATTATCAGGCTTCATGGTAATCGACAAGCTATCATCGAGTATAGCGCTTTAGTTTTCATTGGGGCCATGATCAAGTGCTCAACATGGCCAACAGTTTTCATTTGTCGTCGTAGCAGGTAGTCATTTATTTAGTGACTTTACAGCTCCACAGGACGATTCCCTTGAGCTCTATTCAAATTTTATCCTTTTCTTTATAATTTGTGAGTATAAACTGATTAGCGTAGGAAACAATAACAGTTCCATAGTTAAATACGGGTTTATAAATTATATTATACAAAAAGAAGAAATATCATACAGTTTGCAACTAGAATAAAACAAATTTTATATAATATTTTTTTTGAGTTTAGTTAAAAAATTTTAAAAAAATGTTTGTAAAATGTACAGCATTTTTTAATGTAGATTTTAGTTATATTCTGTGTTGAAAAATATATTTTTTTAAATATATAATATATTTCAAGATATGCAAAAAATCATTTTCCTTGCAGATTTTGCAATTTAAAAAAATATGAATATTTTTAAATTATAAAGTCATTTAAGAGCGCATTTGCAGCTTAGAAAATATTTGAAATCAAATTTTATTTGTTAAATTATTTTTTTTTAATTAACAATTTCAGTTAATCATATGTTACGAACTATATTTTAGGTTTTTAATTTATTGCTCGTTTATGAACTCAGCTTAAATTTATTGTGAATATATTCAGTTATATATATATATTTCAGTTAATCATATGTTACGAACTATATTTTAGGTTTTTAATTTATTGCTCGTTTATGAACTCAGCTAAAATTTATTAAGAATATATTGTTGATAAATATATCCAAATTGAAGAGTTCGCTTGTGCAGCCTCTTCCCTGGGAGCCTTTGCAGCTTCTGACGTCACAGTCGCCTGTTAATTGTTATTCGAAAGTTGCCAACACGCGACACTCGACTTTATCTATACAAATGCTATATATGTGTATAACTATATAGTATATATATGTATATATATATAATAAATGCAACCACATGTTTCATTTTTTTGTCTGCCGCCCTCTCACATATTGAATTTTAGCAATGAATGTCTACAGATATTATTGATTAAAGTCGAATTTTGTGACACGCGCAACTGAGTTGTCCGAGAGTGGCCCATATGTTGGCTAATCAAGACGTTTGGACGACTACTTGCTTCCCAATTTGTGTCAATGTGCCACAGCTGATATGGCTATAGTATATAAATATATATGCTATATATATTATGTTGTAATCATGTAGACGTCTATCAAATTATTTAGGGCTAATTATATATCTGCTAATTATATAAGTCAATTAAATATGCCTCGACTAGCAGATGCCCTGGACTATGGGCATTATCTATATATATATATATATATATATATATAAGTTAACACATAACATTTAATATAGGGTATTTCATAAGTTTATAATCAACCCTCGCTATCGCGTGTTTCGTAAGTTAAGAAACAGCCCTCGCAATTGCGACACTGCATACTTTGTATCAGCGCGCTATAACTGCAATGGTCAGCGGCGGTAACCAGATACTTTTGTTTACTGCAAGAGTTTCCGTTATTGCCTAAGATTGCTGAGTCGGCTTGCCGACCATGACATTGTGGTGTGATGCGAGTTTTGGCTTAGCTTAAGTGAAATATTCTATGTAGCTAAAAATCAGTTTTGCATTGAAGTTTGAAGAATAAACCCGCACTACTCCGGCACACCGCCGTAATCAAATTGTTATATTTCTGATCATTGCTGAGCCACAAGGCCAGTTAATAGAAAAGGGGGTGAAGTCAAACCCTCCAACATAATCATCATAAGAAGATTATAATTACCCGACCAACGCTGGACCTGCCACCGACGCCTAGCTCATCGCTGGACCAGCAACTTATTGATTAAGACTATAAATACCCGATCAACGCTGGACCTGCCACCGACGCCTAGTTCATCGCTGGACCAGCAACATATTAATTGGCGCCCAACGTAAAAAAAAAAAAAAAAAAAAAAAAAAAAAAAAAAAAAAAAAAAAAAAAAAATTTTTTTTTTTGGAATTTAAATCATGTAAGTGGATACTCCAGCCAACATTTTTTTTCAAACACAAAATTTCTTAAATTTACTTTATAAAAAATTTGTTAGTACTAGTGAGTATTTCGTATTGCAACAGATTAGATTATAATAATCAGAACCAAGTTTCTGAAATACGTGAGAGTGGCTGCTCTGAGAATTTAGGCTGATAAAAATACTTAGTGTTACTTTCTATGTGTCTAATTCGACCCATCTTTTGACGGCCCGTTTAATTTTTCGCGGCCACTGGCCTGCGCATGCCACGGTTCAGCCAATATAGAAGCCCTCGCGAGCAATCTAGCGACTCAGATTCCGACTGTGACACTCGTATCAGAGTTCCGTCTACAAGACTTATACCGGCAGTTCCTCCACCATCAGATAGAATGGATCCAGATCAGCTTAGGGAAGTAGTAAGAACGGCCATCAGCAATGCCTTAGCCGAACAGGCCGCTGCAAACCAGCAGAGGGAGCAAGCATTGACTCAAAGAATTAATGAGTTAGCTAAACAAATAGCAGCAACAAGCTTTGCCACCCCACAAGTAGTAGCATATTCTGCTATAGAAATTAGAAACGATATTCACTGTGACGAGCCGCTAGATGCCGTCAAGTGCTTACCTGAGTTCGCAGGAGCACAGGAATCTTATGTATCTTGGAGGCAGGCAGCATTAGCCGCTTACGAGATCTTCAGACCACATAATGGCAGTTCTCGTCATTATCAGGCTGTCATCATTATAAGAAGCAAGATTAGGGGCCCCGCAGACGCGGTGCTGGCCTCATTTGGTACTGTACTGAATTTTGATGCGATAATAAATCGCCTAGATTTCACATACAGTGACAAGAGACCAATTCATGTCATTGAACAGGAATTAGGTACCTTGAGGCAAGGTGGCCTGTCCCTGCTTCAATATTACGATGAGGTGGAGAAGAAACTCGCTCTTCTCACTAACAAAGTTAACATGTCATATGAGCCGGCTTTAGCAAAGGGCCTATGTGAAAAATTCCGCGACGATGCGTTGCGTGTGTTCATATCGGGTCTCAAGCGCAGTCTTACAGACGTGCTCTTTGCAGCAAAGCCCAGAGATTTGCCTTCAGCACTAGCTCTCGCACAAGAAGTCGAGTCAAACCATGAAAGGTACGCATTCGCGGCTAACTTCGCAAAAAGTCTAGAAGACAAAGAGCGCAAGCCGCATGCAAAAGCACAGGGTCACCAACAGGAGAGGCATTCGCAACAAGCCGAAACACAAGCTAGCGGTACAAAGAATCCGCACTTTAGCAAGCAAAGCAGGGCCCCAGTGCAGTCTGACCAACGAAGCAGCAGGCAGCACAATAATAATGGCGCACCGGTGCCCATGGAGGTCGATCCTTCCTTCTCAAGGGTCTTGCAGCCCACTCAGGCCCCTGCTTACGCGAATAGGAAGCACCCCGCATCTGACCGCACAAGCGGTCAGAGGAATCAGCAGAGGCTGAATCACGTCACACAAGACGTGGGACAGGGGGCAGAGGCGTATGCTGATGCCGCCTCTAGCGCAGCGGCACAAATCAATGACGATAGTTATGACTCTGAAGCCCTCAATTTTTTAGGAGCAAATCCCTGCTACCCGTCATCAGACGAAGAGTAGCAGGGACTGACATGCGATTCCTCATAGACACGGGCGCGGCCAAGAATTTCATTCGGCCACACGAGGGGTTGAAAGGCGTCCGCTCGGTAGAGTCCCCCTTTAAAATTCATTCCATTCACGGCGAGACACAAATCACACACAAATGCTTTGTTTCAATGTTTGGGTTAAAGGCAACCTTTTTTATTCTGCCGGACTTATCAACTTTTGATGGGATTGTAGGCCTTGACCTGCTAAAGCAGGCAGCTGCTTCGCTTTGTCTAGCTTCAGGACAACTTAAGTGGGGTACGGAGGTCGAACAAATCACCTTCCACACGTGCAAAAATGTAAATTTCACGAATGTAGACTGTGCAGAGGCATCCCCTTTAGCTAGAAGTTCTTTTTTGAAAATGCTAAAAGCTAGACAAAAGGCCTTTGCGGACCCAGACGAGGCGTTGCCGTATAACACATCAGTCGTGGCTACCATTAGGACCACAGATGAGCAACCGATCTATGCCAAGCTTTACCCATATCCAATGGGAGCAGCTGATTTCGTTAACAAAGAAATCAAAGATCTGCTAAAAAATGATATAATTCAAAAGTCCGTCTCTCCCTACAATAACCCAATATGGGTAGTAGACAAGAAGGGTACTGATGAAGCAGGCAATAGGAAAATGAGGTTGGTAATGGACTTTCGTAAACTTAACGAAAGAACCGTGCCTGACAAATACCCTATACCAAATATATCAATGATATTGGGGAATTTGGGAAGAGCCAAATTCTTTTCAACATTAGACCTCAAGTCTGGATATCACCAGATCATACTCGCTGAACGCGACCGTGAAAAAACCGCTTTCTCTGTGAACGGGGGGAAATACGAGTTCAAAAGACTCCCCTTTGGATTAAAGAATGCAGCAAGCATCTTCCAAAGAACCATCGACGACATACTGCGAGAGCAGATTGGCAAATTCTGCTATGTTTATGTCGATGACGTAATCATCTTTTCAGAAGATGAGGAATCCCACATTAAACACGTGGATTGGGTCCTAAAAAGCTTATTTGAAGCAAACATGAGGGTCTCCGTCGAAAAATCACGTTTTTTTAAGAAAAGCGTGAACTTTCTTGGTTTCATAGTCACCAGCACTGGCGCCACGACGGATCCCGAAAAGGTTAGGGCAATACAAGAGTATCCAGAACCTAAAACACTGTTCGAGGTCAGATCATTTCTAGGCCTCGCAAGTTATTACAGATGTTTCATTAGGGACTTCGCCGCTATAGCAAGACCCATCTCGAATATCTTGAAGGGTGAAAATGGAACAGTCAGTAAACATAGGTCCAGAAATATAAAAGTTCAATTCTCTGAAGTGCAGCAAAGGGCGTTTCAGAAATTGCGCGATATTTTGTCATCCGAGAATGTAATGCTTAGGTACCCCGATTTTAAGAAGCCATTCGATCTAACGACCGATGCTTCGGCTCACGGCATAGGTGCAGTTTTGTCACAAGAGGGTCGTCCTATAACAATGATTTCAAGAACATTGAAGGACAGCGA